TTGGCTATCAGTTGAATCTCATTTTTGAACTCTCTCATCCCTTGTCCTGAGCTTCTTGAAAGTCTTTTTATAGCTATCTCTTGCCCACAAGGTAATGTTCCCTGAAAAATCAGCTAATCATTGATATCTCAACTTATGCTACCTTAAGAGTTCCTGCAGTGAAAAAGCTTACCTTATAAACTGGTCCAAAGCCCCCCTCTCCAAGCTTATTCTCGTCAGCGAAATTGTTTGTGGCCATAGCAATACTTACAAAGCTGAAATTGTACACTTGGCTCATCTTCTTATCCATTTTATCACTGGGTTGGCTGTATTTGCCTGGAGCGGTTATGATATCTTCCAGCTCATCTAGCTGCATTCTTGTTTTTTCTTTGTATACAAATACAAAAAGTAAGATATGGACAGAAATACTAATAACATCTAATTTGGTCTAAGTACTCACCTTTTACTCGGAGGTTTCGTTGTACAACATAGCAAATGATGCAGAATGCCAGCAATATTGTCCCACCCAATGCCGCAATAAGCCATATCCACCAGTGCCTAGCTGCCGATCTGTGCTTCCCACGATCATTGGTGGATTCTATAAAAAAGTAACGGAATGAGTCGATTACTAATAATGAGCTCATATTTAGAATATCAGAAACACCTATATATGTTGAGCTTTAGTATTACACCAAGAAACTACGCATGGTGAACTTGACGTTTGCAAAGATGATGAGAATGTAAATCCAACCTCTTCCTATATCCCTTTTAAGAATGTAAATCTCCCTGTCTGCATATCCTGATGGGTAGAAGTTAGTTTCCATACTCCAAATCTCGCAACCAGAACCATATTGGGTGGTGCGAGAAGCATAAGCAACACAAGAACAATTCTGCTCACACTTGTCCTGACAATCAAAGATGCTCAGGTTGTAGTTTTCACCAAATCTGTAACCATCACCAAGCATGTAACCTGCCCTACTCTCAAACCAATAATCAGGCTTCCTACACTCAGGCAATGTCTTTTTCACACATCCTTCGTCCTGTTTCGCAAGAGAACAATCACCAAAGGATCCTAATACTATTCCCATCATGACACCCACTGGATCTATTCTGAAATAAAGGAAAGAAATATTCTTATTTACTGAATATGTAAGGTACTTCTCATTCTCATTTGAAACGTAGCTGAATTCACCATCAAGTAATTTGGGAAGATTGCCAAAATGTCCATTACTCCAAACCCCACTAGTCCAATACACATTTCCCTGATACCACACTACGTTTTGGTTTGTGCCATTTGGGTCTCCACCAATGGCAAATGATCCCGACGATGGTTCTTCTTTGCTTATCCAACATGTGAGCAACCACCGATGCCCTGTTTTGAAATTGTTACCTAGCTTCATTCCAGGTAGAATCGTGTCTGTAGGGTAATCAAAACTTTGCCACAAGGTTCGGTTTACAGAACCATTTAGATTCAGTTCTCTTAGTACAAAATTGCCATTATCTAGCAGTGTAGCACTTGCATTACTACTGGCTCTCGGGATAGAATTAAAAATACTGGGAACATACCCTCTGCTGGAAGTAATCTTCAACTTGCCATCATTGTCAATCATAAGACTCCCCGGTGCATCAACAATTGGAGTGTCACGATTGGCCACCCACACTGTCCGATCATAAAGTGGAAGATTGGCTTCCCCGTAATCCGGTGGTGTGTTGTAACATATGCCTAAATACCGCCTACTTGAGTTTCGTGGGCTAAAGAAATTCAATCTGAATACCTTGTTTGCTGAACTGAGGGACTCCCAGTCCTCGAGTGGCTGCCCATGCAAAATTGTGTCCCTTTCTTTGTCTGCATAGGCTGGAGGACTCACAAACAAGTAGTATGATAAACCAAGAACAATCGAAATTCTCGTTCCAATTGACATGTCTAATACTTCTGTAATTCTTCAAAATTCTAGATAAGAGTTTAAATACTCGAACAATTATTAGTGATGACAAGATCAAGTCCTCCAGAAAGTTGAGAAAGTAGTATTCTAATTCAAATGTGGGACCCATCTCTGAAGCATAACGTGGAGCGGGGTTTAGAAGAAAGTCTCTGTAGGTCCACTACTCCCCTCTTCTTTCAATCTCAACTATGACAAACCTACCACTATACAAAATATCAACTGGCCAGATTGGTGTTGATGACTGACGAAATAATTTG